TATATATATATATATACATATCAAAGGAGTCATGGCCTCAGGAAGCATCCATTTTGAAGCATCCATTTTGAGTGCACATGGGGCTTTGACATGGACCGGAGGCCTGAAATAAAATGCCGGGGGCTAAGCCACAAGCGTAAACTTTTGGCAAGCCTTCTCAAGCGCAGTCGTCGCCAGCCCTCTCCTCCCACTATCACAGTGGGAGGCTCAAACTTTGTCGTCTTTGTCGTCGAAACCCTCGCCTCCCACTATCACAGCGGGAGGCTCAGGCTTTGTCGTCTTTGTCGTCGAAACTGCCTCCCTCTATCACAGTGGGAAGCTGCCCGAGGAACCGAAATAAAACCTATCGGCCTAACCCCCAGTCTTTGCCCCAAACTGATCATCTACTGCCCAAGATTCCACCGGGGCCAACAACATACGCGAAATATGCGAAATAAAATCCTTCAAACAGCCACAGGGGCCCGACAACAAATCCTGAAGAATTGATGAACATGAAATTTGCTGCTTGAGCCCCTAGGTGTCAATGTACCGCATCCGACCGAAGCACATTCTGCCAAGCGGCCTTGCACGTTCTTCCTGCACCATGGCATCCAACCTTTCTGCGATACCTCGCATACGGTTTGACGCCCGATGAACTGATTGATTGTCCCAAATGATCTCAGCCAGAGGCTTTGAAACGTAGCCTCGCTTTTGGCTGTAAGTTCATCCACGCGCGTGTGAATCTTCTCATCCTGGCTTGCCACAGATTGTGACTGAGCAAGTTCTCGAAGTCGGGACTGCCTTGTGATCAATGGTGTGCTCCAGCTGGTCAAAATGTTTCTCCGTTTTGCCAGAAAGCTCAGAAACCTCGAAGCACCAAAGTAACATGTATCCGCGAGGCAAAAAGGTCGGCAAGGCAACAACCTGGGTCTCAAAGGCAGTAGACAGCGACTGCCGTGCGTCCTGCTCAACCGCGCAAGTCTGCAGCTCTCACATCCTGAGAAACTTTACGCCCGAAGTGCCTTTAAGTCCCTGGGAGAGTTCTTCTACCAGCCCGTCAACACAGTTTCGCATAAAGCTCAAGCTGCAAGTCACTGACGAATGTGATCGACAGGGACTACCTGACAGACTCAAAGGGTAACTATCGGACGGTCAATGACCTTTCAAGCTGAACAACGCGATGGCCAAGCAAGGGGTATACTGCATTTCTCTGCGTCTGCAGAGATGCAACCCCCAAATGCCCTTTCGTCGAAACTTTTTGTGTAATCCTCTGCTATGGACAGCTCGAGAGGGCTTGTCAACGTTGGGTTTCTTGGCGCAGGATGCGAGAAAGGCGGCTTCGTTCGGCCTCGTTGCTTCAACAGAAAGGGCGTTTGAAACTGCCCTTTTGGGGGGCCCAGCATGGCCGTGCTTGAGTGCTTGGGGACTTGAGTATTGCGAGCGTTGTCAGCGTTGGGTGGAAGCCCTCTCCTTCTGAGCTGAAGACTCTGAAGTCCTGCCAGCCTAAACTTATGCTTCATTCGCACCGCCGGCCTCGCCTGCAAAGCCCTGGGTCCGCGGTTCTGGGGCCATTAGTGGGGCCCAACGTCCGCAAGGAACAAGCTGTGATGAACACAGGTGCTGACTGAGTGATTAGTTCGCTAAATATTGGTCTGGGATACTCAACTGGATTTGCAGTATGGTCGAACGGGGCTCAAGCGGCGGTCTGAACAGCAAGGCATGGTCTTAGCGACGCCTCCAATGCATCTCTCGCCTCTTTGAACTTGTCCTGGCGGACTGGCTTACAGCCAGCTATTAATGATGGACATCTGCAAGCAAGAGCGGAGGATTCTGTGCTTCATCTTTCCTGAGTATCGGCATCGAGCTTGGCCAGCTCGCCATCCAATCGGCTCGTAGTGTCTTGTAGACTCCTGAAGGCAGATCACTAGAGTCTTTGCACTCTGCTAATAGCTGCTAATGACAGGTTAAACTTTGCCTTACCTGTGATCGCAAAATGCTAGCAACAAGTCATCTAGCGAATGCTTGACTTATCAGGGCCCAAGATCTCCGAGAGGAATCATCTCCCTTGTGTGGAACATGCAGAGATGTGCAGAGCATGCAGCCATATCAGCGCCCTAATGTTACGGAAGCATGAAAGAAAGACTAGGCCTGTCCAAGACATCATCCCGTGCTACCCGCTCGGACTGTTCCTGACATTGCAGGATGCAGGAGGATCACGCTTAGGTCTTCTTCCCTCTCAGCTGAAGCATGCTACGGTCATGAATGCAGTGGAAAGCACAGGAAAGCAAGTGTGGAAATGTAACCTGGAAACCACCCATCACTGCATAATGTAATTATGGTGGGCCTCCCCGAGCCTTTTGTCCGGAGTTGCCCTCAGGTTGCCTTCTTCCACCGCCATACGAACGAGAGCACATGATTCAATATGCATCCAGCTTGCTTTTTCTGCGCAGATTAAAGGTCTTTTCTGCGCAACATCGCCGTTATTCTGGTGATGGTCGCGGTCGCCCTTGGCGAATTTCCCGCACCATTCTCGATCTTCTTATTCTTGCCATCTTTGTGACAATTGTGGTTGCCAAGAGTCTGCTTGTGACTCGGATGATTTGCTTGCGCTGTGCAATGTACGGGCCGGAATGCTTCGGTCACGATGCAGCACCTGTGCATCTTGTTTGTCCTCCAATTTGTTTGTTGTCTGTTTGCGTGACTTTGACCACAAGTGTCGCTGACAGCGAAATTTCATCCACCTTGGAGGCCTCACCACCGAAGTCCAGAACAGGGGGGCATTGCAGACAACAAAAAAGTAGCAGCCTTCTCAAATCTCTGGATAGTCAGCTCGCACTCCTTGGCCAATGCGCAGGTTTACGCTGCATGGGATCATGGCAAGGAGTCCCCGGCATTACCAAACCGAAGGTTCAGATCGGCGAGCTCCTGAGGTCTTGATGCTGCCCCAGCATTAGCGTGGTTAGCCGTTTCGAAGGGTAAGTGCGAGCCGCGAGCCTGTTGCATTTGCTCCTTCAGAGCCTCCACGTCCTGCAGAAACTGCTGGATGGCGCTGAATAAGGATGGCAGAGGGTTGTGACGTCCTTCGTGATTCTCTCCGCCATGGCATTGCCCTCTGATTGCCACAGGTTGACGCTCACCTTGTGAAGGAACAAAATGCTCAACCGAACCGCTTCCAATTTCCAGCAGTCGTTACCAGCAACCTCGCCTTGGTCTCCTCCAACCTCTGCAGCTCATCCAAGTGAGCTTCGAGTTGTAGCTTATGGTCTTCCTTTGTGGCCTGCGCCTGAGCTCCGGAGCAATTTGAAAACTTCATGCAGCAAACAGCCCCCCTCCTCCGCGTCCAGGCGGTAGTCCTCTTCTTGTAGCTTGTCGAGGCTGCCGTTGACCTCGTCAAACCTGTGGCCACATGCCGGCAACTTGCACACCGTAAATGAGAATTGGCCAACTTCTGGCGAGGCCCAGACTGCTCATCTACACGCAGACCAAAGGCATCGAGCTGATCCAGAATTTCCTCTCCGAGAACGGGTTCGTGCTTTCAAAGTAAAAATTCCCTCAAATGGACAGCCTTGTGATGCTTGGCATCCAGCTGCTTCACAGAGTTACTGTGTTGCCTCGAAGGACCGCACTGCTGACGAATGCAAGCACATATGGGCACAAGGTTCATGTAGCTCAGCTTTGCAGCGACTACCAAGCCTGACTTCATCCAGATCACGGAGGATGCCAGCATCATCCTCCTTGAGACCCTCAGTATTCAAGCGGTATGAGCAGCATGCAATACCAGACAGCATATGCCTTTGATCACGCGCAACTGATGCAATGCCATCTGCAGCACGTAAGCAAGGAACAACTATCTTCTGGTTCACGTCTTGAATGGCCTTGTCCTGAGCAGGCTTGTTACACGGCATATGAGTCATATGAGGGCACATTTCCTCAAGATCCTGCATTTTCTGCAGCCCTTCGACTGAGGCAACTCAGGCCTCGACCAGCACTTCGGTCATTTCGCGACGAGCTATGCCGACCGTCTGCGGCATACAACTGATTCTCATCACCGGTGGTTGTATACACTGAAGGATACTTTTCCATGGCATGCTTATTCGGGGGGTTTGAAAGATGATGCGCTCCAAGTCCCAGGCCCTTTCTGTCCTTTCGTCAGTAGTGGCAATGAGCCTCTCCTCTCGAACACAAGTATTGGACACTCGCGGGGGCGTCAGTCCCAGGATCTCATTGACAAGGAAACCTGACCCCTTCAGGAAAAAGTCATTCTAGGAGAACTTTAGCCCTCAAAAGCGATGTCTTATTGGATATTCACAGGCGTCGAATTGCCTGACAGATGAAAGAAAATCCCTCCTGGCAACCAAACATTGCCCACAACGGAGGACCGAAAATGAAAGAACCTCCATCTTGAGGCTCAGAACATCCGTGGCCCAGAAGTGTGCTGTGAGACATGCAATGAAAACAGAATCTGGCATGAGGATTCCCTGGCAGCCTATGCCCCACACCACACCTGTATCACAGGACTGTCAACTGCTGTTCCAATGTGGAAGATGGGAGCAAAAAGAACACAGCAGTTCTGTTTGCACCTCTCCAAGTGAGTGGGGAAGTGGTGCAGGGTACGAAACTCATAGGTTAGATACCAATGACCTGGCTGATCTTCGCAGGCGGAGGATGCTTTGCAATGTCCAGACTGCGTCTTGCAGCGACTCCTAGCGGCCCTAGCGTGGAGTGTGTTCTGCCCAGAAGGCCAATATTCTTTAAATTTCTTTAATTGGTTGCTTTTGCAGCGTGCAGATCAAGTCCATTCGAGCTTGCTGACTGTTAATCTTCCAAGCTTGGTATCTCCTCTCATCGACCTAACAGCGCTTTCGATTGACTGAGCTGTGTCGTTTTTCCTCGGTTGTCATGTCTCTTCCTCGTGCGGAAGTGTCCACGGGGCTTCCCGAAGAACCTTTCTTCTTTGCGATAGCTTTCATATGCTTTCATTGATCTGTCATGAGTCTTCCGGATTTGTAGTCAATTGGGCTCAGCTCACGGCTGCCTTGTCTTGCCTGTCCCTCTAATCCATGCCCTCATTCTCCAGCCCAGTATGCAAAAGCTGCGGGGGTCCAGTTCGGCAAGTCTGCGTTCAACACGGTCAGTTGCCTCAGCGTCAAAAACAAAAACACACAGCAAAACCTCTCACTCAAGTTCTAGGCATGCATCGAGTAATTCACAGACCAAATGCAACATCTGACCGTTTGAGTGAATTCTGCGCGTGTAGTCGCGGAATCCCGACATATGCCCAGCAGAAGACCCATAAACCTTTTCACAGATGCCATCCGGGCTGTTCCGACTTGGCTTCCAGCCCTGGTGAGCTTGAAGTTGGCATCCTGTACATCGAGTTTGCAGAACCTGAATGCAAAGTCGAATGCAAAGTCAGGGTCTCCTCCAATTCTTCGATCTGGTCTCTCGGATCTCGGCCTCGCTGCCTGCAAAGACGTTGCATCCTAAAAACACATGCAGGCTGTCAGGTACTCACTTCCCTGCAGGCCAGAAAGACTACGTTGCTACATGACTTCGATGACATCTGCAGCTGTAAGCAGTCGAGCACTTGCGGAATCCACAACGGCGCCCCTTCTAGTGGCTCTCCTACTACGAAACCAGCAAGACCCCCCCTTTTCCCCCTATTTCCTGGTCTCATTCTGCCCTATTTCTCTAGCCAGGTCGCTAAACTGTCGCTTAATAGGGCGCCGTGGGGGTAACCCGCCTCCCCTCCCCTTATTTCAAGGCAACCCCCCATGGCATGGGAAGAGATTGAATCTCGGCTGTTTCGCGACGGCATGGTAGCTTACGACGAAGCAAAAGGGAGAACCTGCAATCATACCTCTTTGCTTCACGATCTGTCGAAGCACAATGTGGCACTCTGCTGATTAATGGCTCTTATTGCACTTCTATATCTTCCGTTGCGCGAGCAACGCACGCTCAAGCCTGCCGGCTTGCACACCGCGCTGGTGATGCTCTGATGCTTTTGCCAGCAAGGTCTCCTGCGGCAATTGGGCCTCGACGGCAAGTCCGGTGGAGATCCACTGCACAAGCGCTTCTGCAGTCCCTGCAAACATCAAAGCCTCTATGACGGGAATCTTGCTAATCTGCAAATTGTTCAGGAAGATCTCCTCACAGGCCAGGAGGGGGATGTGCAACAGCTTCTAACAGCAATATCAGCAATCAAGTAACTCTCTAGCTCTGAGGCTGCTGACAATGTCTGCGTCGGTGTGGAGAGGACACCTTCTTTGACCATCCATACCTGGCTAACCGAATGAAACCGACATAAGCTGAAATGGGCAGTGTATCGAGGCACCGAACCTGTGAGTCGAATCTGGACATCTAAAGTTGTGGCACCTCTGCGCTCACAAAGTTCCTGTAGCAGCCAGGCTCAAGCGAGTCTGGCAAGAAAGAGAAAGTGCTGTTAGTGTCCTGAAACCGGAATGCGGGCTTGCCCTCGAGCAAGGCAGCAATCTGACAGGGCTCTTGTCAATGCGTCACCTAGATCCTGAAGTTCCGCAAAATACTTGGGAACACATGTACGACATTCTTACCGCGTGCAGGGCCTTGCCCATGGTAAGCTGCGCAGGCAGCTCCAGCATTTGCATGATGGACCCGCCACCTCGCAAAATTAGCAGACGGGCAAAAGCCATTGTCAAAGCACGAAGGCTTCGGCTGATGGATGGATCTGCCACGATCAGCCGGAACTGCAGCAAGCAAGCCGAATTCAGAGCAGCTTGTGCCAGGAAGCCCTAACCATGTGCTTTGACAGCATGGCCAGGCCTTACTTGGCAGTGTGGATGCAGGAGGCCGTGCCTGCGAGCGGCCCGCCATGTCGCCTTGCAGACCAATTGGGAGATGACTTTTTCCAAGCTACATCCCAAAACCCGGCCTTCCAGCCTGGGCGGGCCACAGAATGTCCAGCTCTGGCGCAACTGAACCCAGATGCAGTACGATACAAAAGTCTACCGACAAGATATCAATGCAACAGGAGCTGTTCGTGATTCCAGGCATCTGGCGCTGGGCTATCGATGAATCAGGGAAAGTGCGACCAGTCATTCCCGTTCTTAGCCGCTTTGCCTCTTCATACGATTTCCCTCAGTCCATTCACAGAATCGCATCCTTTTGCTGCAAGCCTCCAAGTCGTGTAAGCCTCTGCCAGCGCAAGTTATAAGACACTTAGCTTTGAGATGATTACAGCGCTGTGACTCTGACAGGTAGAATTCTTGCGTTTGCCCTGGCAGGAGAGCCTGCAGCGCTGATAGAAAGCTGCACAGCCTTCCTGAGAGCGTGCACTTAATTAGGCATGCCTCGTGCAGGGAGTCTCCTCAAAGCGCTTTGTGGAGTTGAAAAATGTGGGAAGACATTGTCTGCAGGAGTGACGGCAGTCTCAGGCTCGTTAGCCTCACAGACTCACAAGCACATAAGGTCATTAACTCAGGTTCATGCAAAATCGGCTTCCAAGCACTTGCATGAAGCCTTGCTTGCGTCAATGACTTTCTATGAAGCAAGCATGAGGGCGCAAAATATGCATCATCGGTTCTGGGCCGCAGACACGACTATGAAGCAGCAAACAAGGTTACTAACGTGCCACCTGCTCTGTCGACACTACAGTAATGTCCTTACAGACAGCTACCATCAAATATCAGCAGACTCCAGTGGACTGGGACATTAGGAGATCTGATCTCCCTGTCAAAACGTGCTTGGCGGCCGGCCTGTCTGCAGCTCCTGACAGCTTTCATCCCATATCTTGTCTTGGCCAGGATCTTCAAACCTGGCAAACAAGCAAGCTGAAGCAACTCCTTGCACGCATCCTGATACCTGCAGACCCTGAACGCTTACAATAATGCGTACAGAATCCCTGGTTGACGGCTTTATGACCACAGTTCAGTTTCGGTGAGATGCACTGAGCACACGTCCATCAGGAAGGCAATCCAGCCTTTCTTGCATGCTCCAATGGGTGCAGCCTCGACAACAAGCAGCCCCTGAACAGCAACTAAGTTTGACGGCACAGCTACGGCGAAGGAGGAAGTAAGGACTGCACACAGGGCGAGGCATTCCGCCGTAGCCACCATAAGTGTTGTAGTAGTTTGCGGTCGGTGCCATGCCCTGGCTGTTGGCCTTGCAGCTTGGCACAATGTGTGCTTCATGAAGTCTGGGCATTCTGGGCAACATCATGCCGGGACAGATGGTGCCAGAGGTGGTGCAAGCTCTTCCTGCCAATCGGTAAGTTCCTGACGGTAGTGAAGCTGTTGAAGCTGGCCCTCGGAAGCCAAGATAAGGAATGCAGTGAAGTGCAAGCTTCTGGTATACCCCATCCAGAAATCCTCCAACCTGCCATTGCCAGCTCAGCTGAGCTGACCGCGCACTGGAGCCGTTTCGAAGCCAAGGGTGGCTCAGTGCCTCACGGCATGCAGACACAGCCAGAAAAGGAAGCCAGGAAGCTTCAGCAAATACATTCATTCCTAACGTGTGAAAGTGGCCTGGTCAGCCGTGAGGCGATCCCCTGGCCGAACCTGGAAGCAGTGTCACAAACTGAGGCTCTTTCGGCGACATGCCACGAGGTCCTGCAGCAGCCGCAAGATGAAATCCAGCGCGCCCTTGGACACATTCTTCCATGCCTCCAAAACATCCAAGGTCCCATTCCGTGAGTCTCATGTCATTTGATCCGGCAATGCAGACTGGCACGGTTCATGCTGAACTTATCGGGCTAGATTGCCGTGTATGGTCCAGGAAGGATTCCACTGTAGACTCTCAGACATGTCTGCAGGGCGACCAGCTGTGTGGATTCCAACTTCTAGGAATTAGTTTGAAAGCCTTTTCGGGCATCCAAGCGATCATGTGCGATGTTGCAGCAAATACTTTGCAGACATTGTAAGGCATCTTGTATCGGTGAAGGATGACGCAGAACGTCTTCCGATCTTGGTGAGGTATGTTGGGCTTCATTGACTTTATAGTAATCTGGGGGCTGTCTGGCGGAGACAAGCACATGTTCTCAAGGGGGATCGCGTGGGTATGGAGATTGCACGCATGTAGGTCTTAGGATTCTTGACTTGAGTGAGTCTGAAGGAGCTGCGAGCATTATGGCTCTGGGAGAAAGATCTCAGCTTGTCGAGGGGAACTACGCCAAAGAGATGTTCTCAAGCAGCAGTCAACCTCTTCTCATTTGGACACGAGCCCAGCCTTTTCCCGTTGTTCGGAAACAGTGATAGAACACAGGATCAACCGATATTGAGCTGAATTGGCCCTATTCAAAGAACTAGCACACTCGCCCTTTAGCCCTACTCCACTTCCACCCTTGAACCAAGCTCCTCCCTAGCCCTTTGCCCAGCTTGCTTCCTGTTTGCATGGTGTTTTCGAGGCTATGGCACTATGTCCAGGAGCCCTGAAGGCCTGAATAGTTGAAGACTTCACCAGCCGAGAGAGGCAAGTGGAGAAAGACAGTTTCAAGAAAGGCGGATGCTGCGCTCGGCTAGTGCAGCGAACGAGCATGCGCAGGAAAGAAGTGCGAGGCATTCAGGCTATTCCAGGCTTAAAGTCAAGTACTTGTACAACTGCAGCATCAATGAATCAAGCAACACCGCTCTGGCTATGTTCAACGCAGCTGGAGACTCAGAAGCGCCACATTTGGATACGTTTAGCTGGGCAGCAAGCTGCAAACTGAGAAAGAGCCGCAACGATTCTCATGCAAAGCGAGCAAACGTCGTATCATGCCCTGTCTTTTGTTTGTGTCTTTTGTGCAATTGCCCGAGCCAGGAATCTGCTTGGAAAAGAAGGCATGCTTTAGACTCTTCAATTCAAGGTTTCCACCCCCAAAAAAAGCTCTGTTTCGGGTTGGTCGACATCGGCTTAATCTCATCATCTTGTGATTTTCTGCGCGACCTTTTCCATTCCAGATTTGAGTGATTGATGTGTCTTGAAATCTTGGCAACAGTTTTAGTTTGCAAATGCTTGCAGTGCATGTGGAGGTTAAAGAGGAGCTCCGGAACATTGATAGCAGCACGCATAGCACTGCTGCAGAAGTGACGGCAACTTCCAGCATTATCCGGCAACACAAAGCCTGTGACCTTTCTCCAAGCGTCAACCATTCTGTTTGATCAACGGCCAATGTTTCTGATGGCTTTGTGAACACTACATCCCAAGTAATCGTAGTAGATGATCTAGCCATACAATGCGTGTCGCCAGATTTGTGTCACTTTGGAAACAGCCATGACGGCAGGTTTCTTCGCGAATGGGGGGTGGCACTTTTATGCGTTTCTTTTGCAAAATGCTCTGTGGCAAAGGGCTCAAGCTTTACATCGAATTAGGATTCCGTGCAGCATGTACTTCGCAAGGCAAGTGCACACAACAAGCACAAGGAACGGGGCCCGTGTCTGGCCTGATCCGGGAAGCTCAAGTCCCGCTCCACAATTTGGCGGTACCTTTTTTCCCAGCGGATGCTTGAGGAAGGCAAAGAGGTTGTGGCAGAAACCGGCGGCTCACAGCTTGTGCAGGACGTTGTGGAAGAAGGGCAGGGACCCACTGAGCAAGACATAGGTAATGACCTAAGATGGATCTGCTTCGCATTGTTTCACGTGGAGCTGTTGGAAGGAGCCAAGCGCAACACGCCAAGAGCCCAAATGTCAATTTCTCGCCCATACTCCTAGAATGCAAGAAGGTTCCAATCCCACGTTCGTGTAAGAAATGTCAGAAGTCAGCAGTCTCTCCTCCTGCTTGATCACTTCTGGGGCCAGGTAGAAGTCTGAACCACAGATAGAGTGCGACCGCGGAAGGCGGCGAGGGTAGTCCTGAAGGAAGCTGTCAAACTACTAAGCACTGAAGGCCTCGGCGGCCTGGTTGAAGAAACCTCTCCTTGGACATTTTTGCCAGCCCAAAGTCCGAGATCTTCAGCTCTGTATTGCTGACACGACTGGCCTCAGAGGCATTATCGTGTCAATCTGTTCCAGGCTGCCAGAGACTCAGTGGCCCAAGCCAGCAGAATGTTTTCAGGTTTGAGATCCCTGGCATGAAATTAGGTCGACAAAAACGATGTAGTTTGCCAAGAAGCTATCCGGCCTGGCCTGTGCATGATGCCGTGGCTGTGAATGTATGCGACTGCTTCAAGCAAACATCGAACGGCGGCTTTGGCCTCTTCGCCATGCATCGCGATGCTGTGGAAAATCAAAATCAGGAATGGGGCTCGTCTCGTGCTGCACTTTTGCAAGCCTCCTGTTCTGGGTAGTACTGCTTCTGCTGTATGCGGTCATACAACTCTCCACCTTCCAACCAAAGGATGCTCATGCAGTAGTGCAGCAAGCTCGCATTGACTCACTACTAGTAGGCGTGACGAAGCAGAAGCAAGCAAAGCCAGCACAGCCTTCACACAGCTCGAGGACTAAACCTCAGATGCTGCACAGGAAACAAAACCGAACGCAAAACTATGGTAGTGCCTTGATAGAGACTACGGAAGATGCGGAAGCAACTGCAGCAGATCTGCAGCCACCCATCACTGACCATCAGAGGCCACGTGATTGGTAACGACTCGTGCAGCGTCAAATGCCTGCCGTTTTCAGTTGAGCTGCGGATGGCTCCTGGGAGCGACTCATCGACGTCAATGAGGGACACAAGGCCTGAGACTATCTTGGAGACAAAGCCCTGTGTGATGCTCAAATGCCACAGGAACCACGGCCTGGATGATTTCCAAGAACTTGGAGAATGTTGATCTCCTCATGAATTCGGTTCAAGCCTTAGCAAGCTTCCCATCAGGGTTGAAGATGCCTACTGGCAGCATTCATGGCACAAGAGCAACCCGGCAAGGACAAGCATGTCCTCTACATGGATCTGAGTCGCCAACTGGCCATATCGCCAACGCGTGTATTTATGACCTAGATGTCAGCACAGAGCACTGTGTGCAAATTTGCTCTGCTTCACCATCGTGACGCTGTAGTAACAATCATTGCACGCGAGCAGCACTGGAGAACGAAGTACGAGATGCCTTCCCTCTCATGAAAATCAATTCAACCAACTGGCGCTTAGCATGGAACCTTTAATGCGTACTTCTTCTCGGGCTGGTTTTTGCGGTTGCACAAGTGAACCACCGCGAACTTCCCAGTGCCGATGCAGTTGTTCTCATCCACCTGAAAATGTGTTCGTCCAGGCCCGGGATGAGCAGTGGAGATTCTAAAGTCGGCAAGCTGTGGCTGGCCTCGTAAATACTGTCAAAGTCCTCTGAGTCATAGAAATCGACAAGCGGACAAAGCGTGGAGAACTTGATCCCCATGACCTTGTTGCTGGAATGCTACTTCCTTCATGCCGACGTGCAGTCAGTGCCGGGGAGGATGACTGAGGTTGGGGCTGCTTCCCGTCACTATTTGACAAGGAATACATCTACTAGGCCAAACAGCTGCAAGTCCATGTTGGGGTAAAGGTTGTCCTCATTGATGGCACCTGATGTGCGTGTGGCATCGCTATTTGATGCTTTTTTTTTCGGCTGCGTGCAGGATTCAGCATGAGCTGCTATTCAGCTCTGCATCAGATCAGCAGATTGTCTGCCTGATGCAAATAATCATCCTCAGCCTTTCTGCTGCCAACGATAATGAGAATATGGCGCCATCGACCCTTTTAATGGCGACCCCATAATACACTCTGCAACACACCCACAGTTGTGCTCTATGTCATACGTCATATGTCGCAAGACAGACACGCTCGTGAGTGGACATATGTTTAAAATTGGAGGTCAAGAACGGCGTGACGATTCCTGAAGATTCCTGCAACTTTGGCAGGACACATGCCTGTTCACGCCCACCTTGGGTAATTCCGTGCCGCCACTTTATGGAGGCAAACATTCAAGCTTTCTGCCAACGACAGGACCTCTTAGTCACAAGGTAGTACATTCCATGCGAACGCTCCGAAAAAGGGACTGGTACATAGAACAGAAAGCTTCGAACCTCACTTGGAGCCATCCCCACGTTCGAGGGGAGACCCATCTGCTTCGCAGGTTATCAGTGGACGAAGCTGCCTTGGTGCTTAGCCCAGATCCACAGTGTCCTCACGCAGCACATGCATCCTCATGCTAACCCTGTGCTGCGCCCTGTGCGGGCAGAACAAATGCTGGCACCATCGTCTCTGCCAAGATGAGACTCAAGCCGCACGTAAAGCAGTTGGCAGACAACACCGAACATTTTGATATGAAAAGTTATCTGTTTGGTTTTTTTTGTCGGACCTTTTCTCCCCCAGTAATTTGCAGATTACTCCCGGAGATGCATTACTGCACGGCCCTGTACGCGAGCAGCCACATTCTGAGCCTCCCATGTGTGTCAGAACAACATGTGGCAGCATGATTCAGAGCCACCTTTCGTTGAGGCATGAAAGCACCTCTTCAGGACGAAGAGCAATACTCAACCCTCTCAGACTTCCAAAGCTCACAAGGGACCATTCAGTTCACAGGCACACACTACAGCAGCCAGCGCTTCAGATCAGTCTGCCCATACCCTTCAAAAGAGCTGGACGTTGGATGCTCAGTCCGGGACAGGCCGGCGTCACCCTCGCCCTCTGCACTGCCACCACCGCTCATGCCATTGCCGTCACATGCCGTCACCACTGCCATGACTGGCGAGTTCATCCGGTCCATCAATCTGCGTGGCGGCTCCAGACAATGTCCCAGTATGGGCAACACCAGCAATCACCTCCACTTGCGGATATTCGACACCTCCATGGGATTGTAGCGTCCCTGAGCCGTGGCAGTAGGCCATTTTCTGCTGGCATGTCCACGCTTGCCTGGCTATCCAGCTCAATGGTGCCATTGCCAAGTCTCAGCGACGCCCCTTGCCATATACCTCCAGTTTCCGCCCTGCCAGGATCTTCACCCCACGGACCTCGCCCTCCGGGTGCTCCACTCCATCGCCCCATTTGTTGCTCCACCATCTGCGTATCCCTCGGCATCCTGCGTGCTTTCAGCCGCAACAGCCGCCAGCACCATCTGGTCGTTGACGTCTTTTTCCTCCTCCAAGTCCGTTTTCCTCATGTGGAACTTGGCGAGCAGTCCATAACCCCATTTACTTCCCACCATTCCACTTGTGATATGGCCAGCCATCCACTGCTGAAACGTGCCCTTGCCCAGCTCAGAGTTCATAAGCCATTCCATCTCCCCCTCGTCCAAGACCCTTTGCGGCCCCGTCCTGCTTTCATCGCGTTCTTCGACCACTTCCGTAGATGCACCCGACGCCCTTGAAGCAGCACGTAGCGCATTGGTCTCAGGATCATCTTGTGGTAACACAGCCACACGATGCGTGACCGACTCCGCGTCTCTCGCCACCATGGGGAAGGTCTCCTGACGCACTATGCACCCATCAGCGCTCTCCACCTGGACTACCCTCTTTCCTGGCGGTCGGGGGTCCACTTCCATCGCATCCTGTAGCGCCGCCTCTTCTTCTTCACGAAGGTCTGTTCGTTTTTGTGTGACTGGGTAGCAGACTGCCGCTGGCTTTGCCCACGGTGCCGCTTCACGCACATGTGGGCTCTCATGAGTGAGCATGATGCGCTGCCGTGTTGCATGATGCTGCCGCATGCTGCGGTTTTCTGGCAAGATTTACCCCTTGGGCATGAACCGGTGCGTCTGTCAAACTTGCTTGTTTCATCCGATCTTGAATACCGCGACTGTGTGGATTGTGTGGCAGTACGATAGTGCTTGGCGCCCTTGACCCGCAGGACAGTTGCATTGGAGTCTTTTGATGTTTTTCTGACGAAACTTGAAGATGTTTTTGCTTGGTGCTGGCCGTCTGCTTTCATCTACTTTCCTTGCCTTGTTGTCTCGTTTCTGGCTGCATTTATCATGGCTTTCATCGGGGCGGTTTTTTTTTTTGGCAACGGTGTGGCTCGCTCCTTTTCGGTCTTCGAACGCTTCAAATGCTGTAAATTACAGCATTCGCAAGTCTTGGCACGCGTCAAATGCTGTAAGTCACACCATTTGCCGGCCTTGGGATGCTTCAAATGCTATAAATTACAGCATTCATTTGTTGGTCTTGGAAGGTTTCAAACGCTGCAAATTACAGCGTTTGCTGGTCATGGAACTTCTCAAATGCTGCAAGTTACAGCATTTGCTAGTTTTGGATGGCTTCAAACGCTGTAAATTAAAATGTCTGC